CCCACCTGTCCCCACGTCGCTCGCCCCACGCGGCCATCCCCCTGCCTTGGGCCGGCGGACTCTGCAGGTCTCTGTGGGCTTGGGGGGGCAGTCGTGACAGTTGGACTGGAGTGAAGCTCCTGGCCCCTTCCCTATCCCATCGGGCTCTTCTCCTCGCAGGACATCCTATCTTCTCCCCCCAGGCTCCCCAGAGCTCCAAGGGCCACGCCAGAGTGGAGGTTGGGGGTGCCCAACCCATTCCCAAGTCTCGTGCCCCACAGTGGGCATCTACCTACAGCTATGGCCTTGTCTCCCCAGGTCTTGGGACCTGGGGTCCTGCTGGAGCTCTTCGTTGGAGGGTGTCACCCCGGTTGTGGGGCCCGGAAACCCCTGAGGTCACAGAGCCCAGCCGCCTGGTGGGGCAGAGCTCCGGGGGCGAGGTCCGGAAGCAGCAGTTGGACACCAGGGTCCGCCAGGAGCCACCGGGTGGCCCAGTGAGTGGGGCTGCGTGGGGAGGCGAGGGGGCTGGAGCAGGCCTTAGAGCCCAAGGGAGGCCGGGGCAGCCAGGGTTTGGGCGCCTCCCAGCAGCTGGCTCCTGATGCTTCTTCCCTTTGGAACAATGGGCACCATAGAGCCCACTAGTGGGAGCACCCACCTGCCCTGCTCCAGGCCCCCTCCATCATCATGGGGATCCCCTGCTCTCAGTGAACTGAAATGCTCAGCCTTCTGCCAGCCCCCACTCCTCTCCTGCCCAACGGGGCTTGGCTAGGGCAATAAGGGCAGGGAGAAGCAGCTGAGAGCCCAGTCAGGGATTAGGGTTCCTGGGTTCTTGCCACAGGCACGCTTAGTAGGCTTTTTTGGAACAGCTTAGTGCTTGCTCTTGCCTCAGTTTCCCTCTTGCACTGCTAGGCTTGTTCTTTCTTCCCTCTCTGAAGGTGGGGCCTTGGAAAAAGGTTCCAGGCCACAAGCACACCCACAAATGCCACCACCCCCTGTCCTGCTCAGTTTCCAGGCCCCTCCTGCCTCCCAGAGGAAGGTTAGGAATGAAGGAGATTAATTGCAATTAATAATTAATTAATATCATGTGAATAATAATCACCCAGATGGAATATTCATTCAGCACGCCTCAGCTCTCCAGGAGCTTCAAAGCTGAAAGTTAGCCAGGCCAACGGGGGCGGTGGAGGTGGAGGGCGGGATAGTGAAGGCCTGGCAGAAATAGGTGTAGAGGAGGGACTCAGAGGAGGCTTGGAAGTTTGGGCAATTGAGGTCTTGGAGTGGTGGGAGGTAAATTGGGCTGGGCACAGGGAGGAAGGAGGGAAACGGAGGCTAACATTGTGGACATCTGTCAGACTGGCATCTGGCCCTGCCTAATGTACTTAGTTAAAAGC